ACGTAGCCAATATCGTGAATAGTAATGATATTTTTCTAAAATGGCATATTTGTAGTTGCATAGATCCAATTAACCCTTAAAAAATATCACTTCATACTGCATGCACGCAACCGGCCCTCCTTACCTTCTCTTTCCTTTCCTTTAATTTTTTTTTATAGTAGTTGAGATAATATTTGTTGTTTATCATAATAAATTCTAAACAACTATAAATTCAAAATTACACATACAATTTTTACATACATATAATGTAATAGTTGAGATAGGCTTAAAGTGGCGCTGACATATTTTAAATTATAATAAATAAATAGATGTTTTTGGGTCGTATATTGACCCTTTTCATCGTATATGACAAACAAATGGTGACATATATTATTTTATCATATATCACTTTTACAAACATGCATAACTAAATTCACTCTACAATTGAAAACGAAATTTAGTCCATCATATTATTTACCATTAAATTAATATTTTACTATCTGTTTTGAATATATTTCAACTTATAAAATAAAATTATATGTTAGGTCACATTTTGATTCTTTTCATGTAATCCAAACATACATGAAAATTATATAACAAATGACAATATAAAGTATATTTATCAGTTGACAAATATTTACGACTAAATAGGATGACAAAAACCAAAAATGCTATTGACAAACGCCCAATTTCAACAAATGTCATCAACAATTTTAATTATAAATACTCTACACATACTAATTTTATTTATATAATTGCTCTCTTATTTCAATTTTAAATTCATTTTTTCCAAGAACATAGTAAGCATATGAAAAAAGGAGGTAGCAGAAGTAAATATAAATTTGTCATAATTGGATAAAATTTTCCTCTTACCATATATCTTAATAGAAAGTTTCTTCCATTAAAATAACCTAAATTCCATAAAGATATCTATAGTACTTAGTACACAAGAAAAGCTATTACTTAAAGTTTAGAAACTCCAAAAATAAGATATACTAAATATTAAAAACACACATAGTACAAATGATAGTTCCATGTGAATCAACTCCATTTTCCACGACACGATATTTTCTAATAAACTCAAGATTTTACGAATTCAAATAATTAGAATTTATATGTTGATAGGGTAGTTAGAAGAAAATCATAACCAACATTCAAAGCAATCCTAAACAAACTATGGACAAAAGAATATAGAAAAATCACCAACATGTTAATATTACTCATAAAAATTCAAGCAACAATAAACAAGGTGTCAGCAATGTACCCCTTTCTAATTCTTATTAAAGTTTTGCGCCTCCGATAAATCTTCGATTAAAGATTCCTGTACCGGCAATAGGGAAATGCATACAGCAGATTCCTCAACACAAAGTAGGTACATACATTGTCCATGAAATGGTTGTGCATGGATGCAAGCAGCTCATGAGTGTTTGAGTGCATTGCCATCCTGCACTTGCATTCTGTTACTTCCTAGTGCCTCTCATCCTCAACAACATGCCCATATGATTACAACGAATAGCTATGTGCACTGCTGCTTGCATGTTAATTTGTTTCTTCTGTCAGAATACACTATATATATGTATGTGATCAGTATAGTACGTACTATACTAATGAAAAGGCTGCTGGGTGTTAATTAAATATACATTGTCAATCCAAGCAATTGTCTAAGAGAATAGGGTAGTACGTCAACTACTAGTCCTAAGCAATAATATGGACCATGGTCTACAGATATCAAGGAGTTTTAGAAGGCTCCTCGCCATTAAAAGAAAAAGCAGATGTAGATGACGTTTGTTGATTTCACTCACCGAATTTCTTCCTCTGTGACTCTGTTAGAAGTTTTTTTTTTTCCTCATAAAAAGGGAATGATGACTCGGCCAAGGACACAGGCAACAAGGAAACACTACAAAACTCTTCTCTTATGCTTCCGGCTTGGTAAGGCTCTTTCACTGAAGGGTAGATGAATTTCAACAGGTTTTTCCTCAAGAACTGGTTGGGGATGGACATAAGCGACCAGCCTTAGTAGCACTGCATTGCCATCCGGCACTTGCATTCTAATTCTTCCTAGTGCCTCTCGTTCTCAACGACCTAACTATATGGATACTGCTATCACCTTATATTTAACTAGACTCATGACCAAATGATAATAGTCTGCTAAATAGCTGTACGATAATAAAAAGGCAAGCAAATGTAGGCCTGGATGATCAAGAAAGTAGGATGCGACAATAAAAGGCATTTGCACGCACTATGACAGAAACACATATAGAGGTTGGCACTTTATGTGCCGGAAGTGCTAAAACTAGCACCTATAAACCTTTTCTCACATTCATGGGCTAAAAACACAAAAAAAAACACCCTTTCAGCTACTAATGGGGTTGGTTCCATAAAAAACATCACCTATATTATGGGTACCGTCACCCAAGTCCTGAATCCTGATACATCCTATGTGCTGAGATTATGTTGCTTGAATCCAATGCTAAAACCTTCGGCTTTGATATCACTTGTTACAAAAGTTAGTTGATATAGCGGAACAACCGCTGACCTTCCCTGTCACTTCAATTATTGATCACCGAAGACACGTCATATGAGAACATAGAAACACATGATATTTGTTAACGAAGCTCAGCCGAAGCCTGTATCTACGGGGTTCTGATTATAGTCACTCCTCCCTAATCAACATAGCACCTAGTCGCTACGAGTCCATGGTCTCACTGCCATCATCTCCCTGCATGTTTACGCTATATTATAGTCACCATGGTTACATTGTGGTGCCTCCTCTCTATTTAAAAGAGAGCCTATGAGAGAGTTTGAGTCCAACTATATCATATACCTATTATAACTCCAAGTCCAATTATAATCAAATGGGACTAATATATTCAACACCTATTCTAACAGTTTTTATGGAGCAACTGCAAATCCTCGGCCTTTCTTTGCAACTGACCAAATCATTGACTATTTCTATAAGAGGATGCTGCTCGCCCTAAATGGCTTGAGGGTGTCAACCTCTTTTATCGTAAGTTATTGTAAATTGAAAACAATTCTAAATATTCCATACACGTTCCTACCTGCTAAGTCGAACAAAATTCTAAGTAGTTCTTACCTGCATTGAAATTTGAACCTTGGTCTCAAATAGAATATCACCGTCTCTTTGTAATCTTGATAAATCATAATATTTTCAACATCAGTTTTCATTTCAAGATATGTAATTGTTGACGGTCCTTAGAGGTATTGGTTATTACTTATCATTTCCACAAAAATCTTTGTGAATATTTGTATGCAGGTGAATTATAGAGGAAAACCACTAGCATGCGACAAAATACACCTCCGGACAATCGGACACGATTACACAGATAGTAGCCTCCAGATGTCAATCAAAACCACATAGAATTGAGCATAACCAAGGTAAAACATGTTGGGGCCCATCAGGTAGTCTCCTAACCAATGGAATGGCCAGGAGGTGGGCCAGAAGTTCTGCCAAACTAGGAGGTTGCCCGAACCACCATATTCTGCCCCCTTGTTGTCTGCTTCCACGTGTAGGCTCCTGATCACTCCCCAATGGTGGTTAAGCCTGGTTCCAGGGCTTAACTTACCTCCAAACCATCGTTACAAGACTATATTAAGAGAAGTTCTTACTTTCAAACAGACAACTCAAGTGGAGTACAACTCACTTTCTTGTTTAGGCAACTCTCTAGTAGAGTTGGAACAAAGGTAGAGAGTGAGTGGAAGCTTCAGAAGGAGTGCACTAGGTATCAGAGATGTTGATAGCTCTCCATTGGAGTCCCGGAGGAGTCCTATAGGTGCCCGAAGTGGTAAAACCAGCACCTATGAGGTGCCGCGGCGGAGCCCTTCGCCAGATCCGTTACTGAGCAGCGGCCCAGTAGGAGGGGAGGCGGGGGCGGCGGTGGCGGGAGGGAAGGTTGCAGCGGTGGCGGGAGGGAAGGTGGTGGCGGCATCTCCTCTCCACCAGATCTGGCCGACAGCCCGGCAAGAGGGGCGCGGCGGGGGCGGTGGTGGGAGGGATGGTGGCAGCTTGACAGCAGAGACGGCGGCGACGCCTCCCCACCGCCATATTTGGCCGTTAGATGCGGCCCAGCAGTGGAGGGGGGGAAGGCGGCGGCCCGACAACGGAGGCAGCGGCGACGCCTCCCCTCCGCTAGAACTAGCCAAGAGGGGACTCGGCGACTACCCAGCGGCGACGGACGGGAGCGGAAGCGACAACATTGGCCCGGTAGCGGCATCTTGTGTTCATGTATGCTCATGTGTTCTTGTGTTCATCTTGTGTTCTTGATGTTCATGTCGTGTTCAAGTGTTCTTGAAGTGAAATAGCTCGATGCATCGGCCGATGCATTGAGCTGGCTTTCCTTTTGCGTTCCCGAGGCCTCAAAGGCACCGATTTTACACACTGGCACTGATGACTTCGTGGTGCCGGTTGGGAAAACCGACACCTAAGGGGGGTTCCCAACTGGCACTGATTAGGGTTTCTGTAGATGTGAGTGCCGGAGTGTTGGCACTCTCTTTGATCTTGTACCTTGGCAGATTCTTTCTTCAATAAAGTATGTACTGAGTGCTCTAGTACTAAGATTCTGGATAAAGAAGTAAGTTCTTGGCCGAGGCTAGAGTAGTAATCGATAACCTAGATGTGGTGTCTAGATTAGAGGTTAAATTCGTTTGTTGTGTGCTCAATGAAAAGTGAGATAGGCAATTGGTGGTGACAACCTTGTCCGTCCATTCGGGCAATTTGAGGTAGGCAATTTGTGTTCCTCCACTTTCGGGTATATCGAGCTACGGACCGGACTCAGCCTGGCAGACCAGGGGATAGACGGTGCCCAAAGCAACTGATTGAGTTGTAACTTAACATAATTAAGATAATTAACCTGTAGGAATTCTCTTTCTCCTAACCCTACTATTTAGTTGTTATCCTTGAATCCTAATATTAGATTATAAACACATGTTCGCTGTGATTCGATACCCTTGGAATACTCTGAGGTGAAGTGCTATATCGATATTTGTGTGCTTGCTGATTTATCTATGACCGTAATAAATACCAACAATAATTTTCATTCATACATCAAGTCTATAAATTTAACAAGTATGATATTCAAACTTGAAAGTTTGACCGGAGAAATGTTGAAAATAACTTGTTTTCATGACCAAAGGGAATCACTATTGATCATTTACTTCTGCTTCATTCGTTTGGTTGCACTGCAACGAGGCTTCTCAACTCTCTCACAAACAACGGTGTAGCGGTAACTCGGCTGGTAGGCAGACTCCCACAGCACAACCTCCATCTCTTTCTCTACAGGAAGAACGCTGCCGGCAACTAGTTCTTGAACCATAGTGCCAGGCATCTCTGAAGCCTCGCCGGTCTGAGAAGCACTCTTTAGCCTAAGAGGCATTGGAAGCACCTTCAGAGCCACACGAGCGATGCTGAGCTTGGTGAAATACTTGTCACGTTGCATCACTTCATGGAATCTGTACACGGTGTTAAGCATAGTGTGCGAAAACTGTTCATCAAGGTTTGCCCTTAGAAACCTACCGAGTACCTTGGCTCCAAACAATGAGCCATGAAGTTCTGCTGCAATTTGTCTGCCAACCACAGCGAGCCCTGCATGCTCCTCTAGAATGCTAGAACCTGAACCAAAGGCAAGTGACCTGAAGAAGTACCAGTATTCCTCTTGGAGTAATGGATCGATCCGCATCGCTCCCGTCGTACCAAGATCTTTGATGTTGTCATTCTCGCTGACTATTATGATCTTGCTTCCATTTCCAATTGATCTTAGAGAAGCACAGAGTGTAGCCCATGCTACCTTGTCAATCACTACTTCATATGTGTTTTTTATCACAATGAGATGCTTCCTGTGCAGTGAAGAGGTTGAAACATCGGCCTGGTGAAGAATGTGGCCATGACTTGTTAGTGTTTCCAACACATCATCAGCAGGATTTATCTGAAGAATTGATCCATAGGAGTACAGGATCATGTCGAAGCGATTGCGCACTCTGTCATCGTTGCAAACATGCTTGATGATGGTGCCCTTTCCAACCTCTGGACCACCAACTATAGGGAGTACACCAAGATGGTTCCCAGGCTGCATCAGGAAGCTGATGATCTGCTCCCTCTCTACTAGCCTGCCAAACATGTTTCTCTCATCAGACAGAAAGTCACTGACAGGCTGCCTAATTGGTAATGGAGGGCAGCATGCCAGAAGCAGAATGAGATCCCTCAAGTTTGCAGAATAATCTTCTAAGAACGCCAGGGTGGAACTTAGCTGATGGATGCTACCATTGTTGTTGACTTGGAAATCCATCGCGACCGTACGGGGTCGCTTGGCAGGGCAGCAGAAACGAGACAAGGAAACTGACCGGCCACTGGTCACAACTGAATTTATGTACTGATCATCTTGGGGGTGCCTTGCATTATCAAGCACATAATATGCTTGGTACATCCCTTTAATGAGCTTCTTGAGCCACAGGAGAAGACTCTGGTTACCTGCGATATGACGATGCTCAGCCTCTTGGATGACAGCATGGATCTTGAGCACGAGCAGCTCGAGCTTGATGGCTGTCTCCTCGAAGCATGCTCGGTTGCTGTATCGGCTGATCAGGAAGGCGATGAGCCGGCTCACAAGATCCGCGAAGAATGCCGGGGCAATGAGGTCCTCAAGAACCTTCATGTTCCTTGTCTCAAAGGTATGCTTTGTAAGCATTAGTAAGGATGATCCAAGGCGATGGTTCTGCACACAATATTAGGAATATATATGAATTGTTTGGTCAGTCAACTAGGAAACCGCGTTATGTGTGGACGAGTGGAAACTGCATAATTCTATTCAGGTGACCATAATTGTTACAAGTTCACTGATAGTCAACACAACGTCAGAATCACTGATCGAATCAAAGAAGTTTCCATGATATTCCATTCATGTGTTGACGTGTTTCTTTTGATAGTGCGATTTTCAAGAAAGTCACAACTGTGCTGACGCAGTAGAGTAGCACATCTCAAAATATGCACGCCAACAATATTTCGGTGATTAAGGCCATGTTTAGTCCCCAAAGCAAAAATTTTCACGCCGTCACATCAAATGTTTGAACACATGCATGGAGTATTAAATGTAGGAAAAAAACCAATTACACATATTGCGTGTAAATTATGAGACGAATATTTTAAGCCTAATTGTGCCATGATTTGACAGTGTGGTGGTACAGTAAACATTTACTAATGACGGATTAATTAGGCTTAATAAATTCGTCTCGCAGTTTTCTGGCGGAATCTGTAATTTGTTTTGTTATTGGGCTACGTTTAATACTTCAAATGTGTATCCGTATATCCGATGTGATAATCAAACCCAAAAATTTTCCCCAACTAAACAAGGCCTAAACTGCTGACAGCCTAGCTGATCAACAAATATATAGCAATAATTGTTGGAAGGTCAACGATTGATACTTCCATTGAAGTTCACTGGGAGTCAACACAATTATCTAATTGCTTGAAGTGTCATGAAACTCCATCGATCTGTTTGCCTGTTTTCTTGTTCAATGTACTGAGGAAATTTCAATCAAGTTTCAACCACATGCTGCTCGTCTCAAAATATGTTTTATGTGAGTTTTTTTCGCCAACAATATTTTAGTTGAGTATTATCTGAGTGGAGCTGGTGGCAGTTCAGTGTTGACCATCAACAAGTAAATTATGAGATAGAATGGTTTAAAATTCACTAATTAAATATATGTAAGGAATTGATAGCTTGCATGTATAGGAATGCGTGTACAGGAAGAAAGAGAAAAAGTAATAATGCATGCATGCACGTGAGAAGAAAAAGTGAAGCATGTCATGCATGCATGTTGGATGGAACGACTCCCAATTTTTTCTCTCAAACTTGGGCGCCTGCAGATTTGTAGTCACGTCCCAAGAACCTTCATTTTCCCGGTCTAAATACATTTAGAAAGGTGTTTTTGTATGTTTATAAGTTCTAGATAAAGATAATCCAAGTGATAGAAGTGCAGAACGATAGAACACAAATGTATGAGTGATAAAACTCCAGTCTTGATGTTTTGCCAATCCGACAGAATCAGGATCCATGATTCTCGTACGTGCTGGCAACAAGGAAATGCTCCCAAACTCTTCTACTTCTGGCTTGGAGCTCTCTTTTTCTGCACCATGGATGCATACAAGTACCTCAAATAAATTGCCAGAAACTAGCTACACATCACACAATTCATGCATTCCGTTTCTTCCTGGTACCTCTCATCCTCAATGACCTGACTATGTGAGGACCAAATCATGATCACATCACAATATATACAGGCCTGGCAAGGAAAGAAAGTATAACTGAAATTAAAAGGCATGCATGTGCAGGTAAGTCGGTACTTCCTCTGTCCTATTTTCCTGTTGGCAGGGCTAGGTTTTCACCCACGGATGTTACGTGGCAGGGCCCCGACTTCATGCGGGGGCGGGGAGGTATCTTCACCCACAGGGCCCTGAAATATTAAGCAAGTGGCAGTCCACCAACAATCAAAAGCCCATTAGAGACAATCCACTAGCTACAAAATGCCGATGACAACAGCCCACGTACAGGCTATCAAAACCCAATCAAGTAAGGGAACTTCTTTGGCCCAATTTGGAAGAGATATAAATGAAAATGAAAGCAAATCCTATCCCATCCAAACAGTAGGGATAGTTCCTGGGCTCCATATGGCGGCGGAGAAATAATGCGAGGCTGTGCCACAGTAGCAAGTAGCCAAGTACACGCATCGCCCTGCGTGTCCGCTTCCGCTTGCCCATAGCTAGTGGTGAGCTGCTAACTGCCCGTAGCTCCATCCCATGAAGTAGCGCGCAGATCCGCGCCGTCGCTCTCGGCCAATAGTGTCTCATGCCATCTCCCCTATCTTGTCGGACACCAATACTCGCTTCTTACCTTTCTTCTCTGACTGCTTCCCCATTCTATCTTTCCATTCTCTCTGGCTGTCGTGCCTCATGTTGTTCTTCTTTCCCTCTAGCCATTGGCAGCTATCACTTGCACCGGTTGTGCAGGGACCCTGCAGCAGTGGAGGGCCCCGGAGGGGCTGGTGGCATGGGCTGGTTCCGCCTTGTTCATCCCTCCATGGTCGGAGCCGTGTAAACCCGCAAGCGAGCGGGGACGTGCCCACACCCCGTCCCATTGCCAACCTCCTATCTGTCCCATAAAAGCCAAACATAGTAGGGATATGACATTTTATAGTACACGGCCGGTCTTGCCTACATGGCATGCCACGTGGACGATAACATGGCATAAATTTCTTTTCCCCTATTTTTCTCTCCTTCCTCCACCTCTGGTTGCATGGGTGGCAAGCAAAGGGAAAAAGGGAGGCAACGAGAGAGACGGTGCCAAGCACCGAAGGCAAAGGCGCCGGTGCCAAGGTCAGCTTGATGGCTGAAAGGAGGTTGGGGGGACGACGACAACCCCGGGAAGCGAGCGAGCTAGGATGGCAGTGGTGGGGCTCGGTCTCTGCCTCCATCTCAAGCATTGAGAATGAGTGATATTGGGTGGCAACAAAGATGGCGCAGCGACAGTGACAAAAGGTGGTGTGGTGGCTCCCCAATGAGATTGCACTCCTATGTGCAGAGCTCGTCACCGCCAATCTCATTGCCCTCTGCCATACACAACTCGCCGCCGCGGATCACGTCGACCTACACTGCATGAAGCTCATCGCCCTCCACCGAACGGAGCTCATTACCCTCCACCGGTTGACCTGCTCGCTGAGGTCGCGATCAGATCCAGCAAGATTACAGCTGATATGACGAGCTGGCTGTCGTCGTCGCTGCTGCGGTCTCCCGTCCGTTGTCAGGAGAGGATAGAGAGCCCAAGCTCGCCGGTAGAGAGGGGAGAGAGCTTCGAGCTCATCATCCTCTGCCACACGGAGCTTGACATTACTGATATCTTCGCCCTCCGCTTGGGGAGAGGGGACCTGATCTGCATAGAGAGAGAGAGTGAGGGGAGAGGCCACGCCGCTAAGGATGGGAGAGGCGGCGCTGCTGCCGGCGGTGAGCGGAGTGGGACTGGAGGCGTCGATGGTGTCTGTCCATTTGCTGGCGTCGGTGGAGAAAATGAGGTGGGGAGAGGATGAGAGTGCAAGAAGGGAGAAAAATAAAAAATTCCTTGACATGTCATGTAGGCAAGACCATGGTCGAACAAGGCTTTGGACCGGGATGATACATTAAACAAAGTTTAGAGATCTTGATGTGTGTTTTAGACGTTCGTGGACCTAAATGAAACCTCGTGACAAGTTTAAGTACCACTAGTGTAATTTACTCTCATGATTGATGCTCTCATGGGTAATGTCATCATGCTCCGCTTAGCTAGCACTGGGCAAGTGGGCAGTTTGCATGCCACATGCCCTTGAGCTACATTGCAAATTTACTATTGACCAAATTCATAGCTGAACGACATGCCTTAAGTATGCAAAGGTGAATGAGCATAGCTTAACATACCCAAATGGATCCACATGATGTGCATCAGCATTTCTATGTACTTAGGTCATTCACATGTGCATGGAAAGATAAAAGCAGACTTGCGTACGTGGTTGCACAAGCTGATAGAAGTGGATCCCGGATTTTTGGATGGTTTCATGAGCACTACTTGCGATATAATATTCTTCATTGAGAACTAACTTCATCTTGCTCCCTTTCCTAATGATACTCTTCGAGAGCTAGGTTGGTTTGCATTTGGGCAACTTATGTAACCATCTCAGTACACTAATTTACACTATTCACATGTATAGGCATGAGAGGAATCAGTAATCTTGATGACTCCACAACACATATGGCCTGCTCACAGTCCATTCTAGCGAGTATGGATGTAATGTAGTGGTGTCGCTGTTGTGCAGTGACAGGAGCAAGCCCACGTGTAGATAGGGATCGTGAATCCCATATCTTCTTCCTATTGCTGACTAGGCTGCTAGCCCTGCATCATTCACAGATCACTCACTACAGCTCTGCTCTATTGACCAACAGACCATGGGATCAGAGTGGGACAAAATAGTGCAGATGGCACACAAATATTACAATACCTACTGCAATGTTTTTCAGCTTGATTTCTTCTGACTGACTGATGCAGCAATAAATCCAAAACACATTGAACCATTGGTTGACTTTGAATTCGTACGTCGAGGAATCAGGGTTTCCCAGGATATGACAACATTGGTAATGGATACAATCTCTTAGTTGCAAGTGCCAACCTTGATTTTCAATGGTCTTGAACGTTTTCCCGACGCCACACATTCCAATGTCGGCACGTTCATTGTGAAGTTGGTGTATGGTGTAGAATCTGAACATGCAGATCAGAAGATGGTGAATGCGCATATGTGTACATAGAAAGAGGACGACTTAGCACTCTCGAGTATAATGGGTGGTCGATCAAGTACTTAATTCATCTTGGCTGCTGAAGGATTAATTGGAGGCTTGGATGGCTGTTGTACAGGCCAGCTGGTGGTTGGTAACATTTGTTTCCAAAATTTCTGGTCCTACCATTTTGACAAATTTTGCGATAGAACACAGCGATTTTGTGGTGGAAAACGGCAAAAGAGAAACTTTGGAGAAAGCAGTGGTAAAAAGTGAATATTTCTTTGTGGACACCGTTTATACTATTTTAAGAGATTTGCTCCGGTACATAAAAATTACATCGAGGTACCAGTACCTCACGGTACTAAATCATTTCCAATCGTTTAACTAGATCCAACGATCGAAAACAATTTTACCATGAGGTACCGGTACCTTGAGGTACTTTTTGTTCGACTGGAGCAAATCTCCTATTTTAATGTTTTTATTGCTTAGGAGAGAGAAAACTTTCAAAATAATGGTAAGTACCCCTGGTTTGCAAATTGCTTTCGAGTTCTCCTTCTAGCGCTTCTCTTTCAAA